CTGTACCTTGGGCCAGCTCTGGATGCTATCCCAGGAAGGACTGCTAGGCAGAGATGACGTTCACCTTTCGAGGAGGGGGAAGACCTTAGGAAATGGAAATGGGAAATGGAAAGCAGGACAAATTACAAAGGATGAATATAGGCAAACAACACAGGAATGCAGGGGCATAGGATAGGGTCATAATTCAAAATGACCTGGACAAATTGGAGAAATGGTCTGAGATAAACAGGATGAAGTTTAATAAAGACAAATGCAAAGTGCTCAAGAGGAAGGAACAATCAGTTTCACACATACAGAATGGGAAGTGACGCTCTAGGAAGGAGTCCGGCAGAAAGGGATCTAGGGGTTATAGTGGATCACAAGCTGAATATGTGTCAACAGTGTGATGCTGTTGCTAAAAAAGCAAACATGATTCTGGGATGCATTAACAGGTGTGTTGTGAGCAAGACACGAGAAGTCATTCTTCCGCTCTACTTTGCGCTGGTTAGGCCTCAGTTGGAGTATTGTGTTGAGTTCTGGACACCGCATTTCAAGAAAGATGTGGAGAAATTGGAGAGGGTCCAGAGAAGAGCAACGAGAATGATGAAAGGTCTAGAGAACATGAGCTATGAGGGAAGGCTGAAAGAATTGGGTTTGTTTAGTTTAGAAAAGAGAAGATTAAGGGGGGACATGAGAGCCGTTTTCAGGTATCTAAAAGGGTGTCATGAGGAGGAGGGAGAAAACTTGTTCATCTTGGCCTTTGAGGATAGAACAAGAAGCAATGGGCTTAAACTGCAGCAAGGGAGGTTTAGGTTGGACATTAGGAAAAATTTCCTGACTGTCAGGGTGGTCAAACACTGGAATAAATTGCCCAGGGAGGTTGTGGAATCTCCATCTGTGGAGATATTTAAGAGTAGGTTAGATAAATGTCTATCAGGGATGGTCTAGACAGTACTGGGTCCTGCCATGAGGGCAGGGGACTGGACTCGATGACACATGAGAGCCGTTTTCAGGTATCTAAAAGGGTGTCATGAGGAGGAGGGAGAAAACTTGTTCATCTTGGCCTTTGAGGATAGAACAAGAAGCAATGGGCTTAAACTGCAGCAAGGGAGGTTTAGGTTGGACATTAGGAAAAATTTCCTGACTGTCAGGGTGGTCAAACACTGGAATAAATTGCCCAGGGAGGTTGTGGAATCCCCGTCTCTGGAGATATTGAAGAGCAGGTTAGATAAATGTCTCTCAGGGATGGTCTAGATAGTGCTGGGTCCTGCCATGAGGGCAGGGGACTGGACTCGATGACTTCTCGAGGTCCTTTCCAGTCCTAGGATTCTATGATTCTCCAGGGCCTAACCCTCGCCCCGCCACAACTCTGGTAGAAAGCATCCAAGAGACCCAGAATTCGGTCACTAAGGATTTTGAACAAAAATTGCTCAGGGGCAGCCATGCCATATTCAAGTCCAAAAAAACCCCCAAGCCCAAAACCCTAACAAGAATTAACTTAATTTTTAATGCCAACTTTATAAAAATAAACATAATAATAAAATTAATAATATAAATCTTAATAACAGCTTCATTTCTACAATGTAACATTGCGACTTTCTAATCCATATACAGTCGGGACTAACAGTTTTGTAATAAATATACCACCACCACCTTAGATAATTCAAGCAGGAAAAAAATGGAAAAAACTCTGACTTCCCCATTCATGCTGCTTCTCTTTGCATTTCAGTTCAGACAATAAGAAAAGGCTAGTCAGTTTCACATTAGTAACAAATCAGTTTCAAGCCAATTGCACCTTTAGGGTATGTCTACACTACAGCGTTATTTCGAAATAACTTATTTAGAAATAGTTAATTTGAAATAAGATATTTCGAAATAATGCGTCTACACACAAAATGCATTTTGAAATAGCGTTTTGCTATTTTGAAATAGCGCGTCCACACTGAATCGCATTTAAGGCTGGCTGGAACCAGGTCCGGCAGGCCATCACGTCAGGAGTTACTTTGTTTGGCTGCTGCCTGAGGCTATCTGAGGCCTGTGCTTAAACGGACCCCCCTCCCCTCCCCCCCCCCCCCCCCACCCC